ATAGAGAGGTTGTTCTGGTGTGGAGGGATATGGTAAGAAATGGGGTAGGACCTAATTATTTTACTTATACAGTAGTCATTAGTTCTCTTGTCAAAGAAGGGCTGCACGTCGATGCTTTCGAGACTTTTGATGAGATGAAGAATAGTGGATTTGTCCCCGAGGAAATAACTTATAACTTACTCATAAATTTAAATGCTAATAATGGAAACAGAGATCAAGTGCAAAGACTGTACGATGATATGAGGTTTCATGGAGTAACTCCCAGTAATTACACTTGCGCTACCCTTATATCTTTGTATTACAGATACGAGGATTACTCTAGAGTCCTCTCTCTCTTTTCTGAAATGGCAAGAAACAAAACTCCAGCTGATGAAGTCATATATGGTTTGCTTATAAGAGTTTATGGAAAGCTTGGTTTATACGAGGATGCTTGCAAAACATTTGAAAAGATAGAGCACCAAGGCCTACTGACCAATGAGAAGACATATTTGGCAATGGCACAAGTCCATCTTGCTTCAAGAAATGTCGACAAAGCTTTAGAAGTTATTGGACTCATGAAGTCTAGAAACCTACGGTTCTCTCGATTTGCTTATATTGTCCTGTTACAGTGTTACGTGACGAAAGAAAATGTAGTATCAGCTGAAGGAACTTTTTTAGCTCTATGCAAGACAGGGCGGCCCGATGCCGGTTCATGTAATGATATGCTTAGTCTGTATGTAGGACTTAATTTGATGAACAAGGCAAAGGAGTTTATTTTTCGAATAAGGAAGGACGGGACACAATTTGATGAGGAGCTTTACAGGATAGTCATGAAGGTTTATTGCAAGGAGGGAATGCTGCCGGAAGCTGAGCAGTTGACAAATCAAATGGTTAAGCATGAATCTCTCAAAAATTGTAAATTCTTCCAGACATTTTATTGGATTCTTTGTGAACATGACGAGGATTTGCAAATTGATGATAAACTAGTTACCACGAAGCCCACTGACAAACTTGATACTACAGCTCTTGGGATGATGCTCCATGTATATCTGACAAATAACAACTTCAGTAAGACAAAAATGTTACTGAAACTATTGCTGGGTTGTGCAGGGGGATCAAATATTGTTTGTCAGTTCATCATTAGTTTGACTAAAGACGGTATATCTCTACTTTGAAATTGATCGCACCTCTTTCTGTGATATTTTTTTTGATGTTTCTATTTTCAACCTTCTTTTTTTCCCCAGGAGAGATCAGTAAAGCAGAATCCCTCAACCATCAATTGATTACCCTTGGCTGCAGAATGGAAGAAGTCGCTGCAGCTTCTTTAATTAGGCATTACGGGAATCAACACATGCTCAAACAAGCTGAGGATATTTTTGCAGAATATGTAAATTCTCCAACGTATAATAAACTATTTTATAACTCTATGATTGATGCATATGCCAAATGCGGCAAACAAGACAAAGCATATTTGTTATATAAGCAAGCAACAGAGGAAGGACATGATTTAGGTGCTGTTGGTATTAGCATTGCTGTAAATGCTTTGACAAATCAAGGTATGGCCATAGTTAACTAAACTAGTATCTGAATCATATCAACCTGAAATGCAACACCTTGTTCTCTCGCATAATTCTACCAATGAACTGGATATGCTATAACAATTAACAACTCTTGAGTTATTATCTTTTACTACATAGCTTTTTTGTATGCAAACCTATAGCTTTTTTGGATTGGAAAGAGTTGTACAACAGTTGGGAAGTTTCAGGAACATCAATTATTTTTGTTGCTTCTCTCTTCAGCATGCAGTTTCTTAACATTTAACTGGTGATTGTATGCGTACTTATTAATCAGGAAATCATCGGGAAGCCGAGAATATCATCTCTCAGAGCCTTGAAGGAAATGTAAAACTTGATACTGTTGCTTACAATACGTTTATCAAATCCATGCTTGAAGCAGGTTTGATCTCAAGCTCTCTGCTTACATAGGAAAGATAAAGTTAAAACAGCAAGCTTGCTAATACAGTTTATTTGTGCTATAGGAAAATTGCATTTTGCATCTAGTATTTTTGAGCTCATGTGTACCAATGGCATCACTCCATCAATTCAAACATATAATACTATGATAAGGTTATATCTTCTATAAGTTGTCTTCCGCCAATAAAAGTTTTGTATCTACTCTTTTGGTTGCTAATTTTTTGACCAATGTTAAATTATATGCAGTGTCTACGGAAAATATCAAAAGTTGGACAGAGCTGTGGAGATGTTCAACAAAGCTTGCTCATTAGGTGGCCCTTTGGGTGAAAAAGCATATATGAATTTGATAGGCTATTATGGGAAAGCTGGTAGTGGACCATTTTACCTAATTCTAGATACAATTTTGCGCTTGAAAATTTCATTCTACCTGTTTTCTCCTGCATAATATTTTTTTTTGTATCCAATATGATTTCCATGCAATGGAGAGTGCAAACATACTGTGATTAGTGCTCTACTTAGTCACAAGAAAGCTCATAATTATGTATTTTGTAGGTATGATACACGAAGCTTCACAGTTGTTTAGTAAAATGCAGGAAGAAGGAATTAAACCTGGAAAGGTAAAGTTAAAATTTTAACTATATTTTCAAGAGTAAAGTATATATACTTTGCAACTTTTATAGCTGTTGTTGAATTAATTTTATTTAAAAGCTTGAGTTATGTTATGACCCAAAATAATGACATATTTTACATTTGTGAATTTTAAAATAATGACTGTTTTAGAGAATTGGAGCTAATTCTTTACCTTTGCCGGGAGTTACAGATCAGCTATAATATTATGATAAACGTATATGCAAATGCTGGAGTTCATCATGAAGTAGAGAAACTTTTTCAGGCCATGCAGAGACAAGGTTGTTTGCCCGATACTTCCACCTATCTTTCACTAGTCCAAGCATATACAAAAAGCCTAAATTACTTCAAAGCTGAGGAAACCATATATGCTATGCAAAGCAAGGGCATTTCACCATCCTGTATCCATTTTAATATTTTGCTCTCAGCATTCATAAAAGCCGGGATGATTGATGAAGCCAGGAGGGTATATTCAGGAATATCAACTTTTGGTTTAATTCCCAATCTTATGTGTAACCGAACAATTCTGAAAGGCTACTTGAAATATGGACTCTTGGAAGAAGGAATCAACTTTTTTGAAAGTATACACAAATCAACAAAAGGGGACGGGTTCGTCATGAGTGTAGCTGTATATTTATATAAATCCACAGGAATGGAAAGCCAGGCTAATGAAATATTGAGTTCAATGAACAAGATGAGGATTCCTTTCCTCAAAAAACTTGAAGTGGGATTGGCAAAGAGAGTGGAAGTTCCTTGAGATATAAACTACTTCAAAAATGCATGTATGCTTGAGAAGCAATATGGTAACAGAGAAGAGCTGACAATGATCATCAAGCTTGTATATATAACTTAATTGACAATGGTGATGATGGAACCCTGACTATAGCTCTGCATTACTGCTGGCAACAATAATTGAACAGTTTGAACTCTTAGTTCAAAATGTACTTTTGTTGTTAATGACGAGGACCCGGGCCACTTCCATTGTCCAGTGAATTCTGTTACGCCAAGAAAGTGTTTATTCTACCTCCCCATTAAAGGAAGTTAAACCAAGGAGTAACATGTGCAACTATTATGATAAGAGTGTGTTTAGTGGGGTTACTTGTGAACATTTAGGGTTCACGAGAGGGGACTGCCAGTGTTATATAGAAAGTGAATCCCAGTGTAGACCATAAATATACACCCGTGTACAGAGATTTATATATTCATTGAAATTCCATATTCAATGACCACATGCATGGTCAATTATCCGTTTCAATATAATACTTGTGATTGAGAAAATTTTATTTTTGAAATAATCCAGGACAATACACAGATTTATACTTTTCAATCCAATTTGTATTAACTTAGTATATCAGATTATAACTAATTGGCAAAAGTTGTGATGAAGAATAAAAGCAAGGAAAAATCATTTCTTACCAAAGCCTAATATTTATATTTATCTGACTCAATAAATAACAAGACAATCAACCATAAACTATACGAAGCTTTAGTCTTATTACTTTGTGACAGAAAATAACTGGTGGACATCAATGTCAGGAACTTGTTGATAGCATTTCTTTATATTCTAGCCGGGACCTTTCTTTCTAAAGTCTCATAAAAAACTCCTCTGCTCTTTCATCCATCCACTTGTAACAACAATTTCTATATATCTTCAATAGTCAATGGTAGCTATGTTGCCGCAGTCCTTGTCCTGCTTCTTTCCTCTAGTGCACAAGCCTTTTTGATGACGTGCATGTTAGAAAAGAGATCGTCACTACATTAATCACTCGTACGAGATATCTTATGTATATCCCATGTTTGCCAATTTATGTTAATGTCTAATAGCCTTGAACTTCATTAGTTTGTTGTAAAAAAGAATCATAAGATATTTAGAGGGTACCATCACCTTTGGAGTTCCATTTTCTTTTTGGACCACATCTCATCTCTCTAAGTTGCTTATTTTCAAGAGCAAAATAATATGACTCATTCCTTTTCGAGAAATTATTACGTAAGCATTTCCTTCATACCTTCAAGTCATGGAGTAAGACCATTTTTGAGACTTCTTGTTCTTTTAGTATAAACTCATTTTCAATATTCCATATGCATTAATGACTTTTTTTTTTTATAACTTTTATTGAATTTACTGTTGAAAAACATAAATTTATTGTATCCTTAAGGTAATGTTGCAACCTTAAAGTAATTAAGAGTAAAAGAGACACTTAAATTACCAAATCTTAATTGCTTCATTTCTTATTAACCATCATTCTACAAGGCTTAAGGTGCAATGAAGACTAAAAGCATGATCCACATCACACAGATATGAACAAGAAACAGTTTTAGGACCGAGGCTAGAAAAAGACCATTCAGCAATTGCAATATCATGCTAGTGCTATTTTGCAAAGATTGATTCAAACATAACAACGCCAGCTCCCAAGTCCTACTTTAAGCTTTACTATCCACAGCCATGGCAACAGGTTCCTGCTTTGCTTCTGCAGTTCTTGCTTGTTCTACTTTATTCATTTTCGCAAATATATTTCCATAAAACTGTGCATCCTTCTTGTTGTACTCTCTCACTTTATCCTTCAATATTTTGTACTCAATCTTCACATCCCTGGAAACATTCACATACCAAAGATTTATTCAAACAAAATTTTGAACTGGGACAGTTTCTTCAGTTGTCCATTTAGAACAAGATATCTAATGTTAACTGGGACAGTTTCTTCAGTTGTCCATTTAGAACAAGATACCTAATGTTTGCATATACAATATAGGACCGACCGTACACGAGACCAAGACCGTACCTGTTATTTGGATCAATTTCAAGAGCTTTCTTGATATCCATTTCAGCCAAATCCAAGTCAACCAGATGAATATATGCTTGTGCCCTACGGTATAGTGCTTTTACATTCCTGCTATCAAGCTCTAACACCTACACGGTAAGACAAACCTCTCATAAGGTCAATCAATGGATTTCACTTCATTTCCTCTAGAGTTCAACTAAAATAACAAAAAAACAGAAAATCTCATAAACTAACCTTTGTGCACAACTTCTCTGTCTGTTTGTAGTCCTTGAGTTTCAGCTTACAGGCTGCATCATTAAGATTGCATGTAATTTTCAATAATTTGGCCTTCTGTTTCTCCTCGTCACTAAAGGCGGAATCATACTCAATATATTTTATGGCCTATTCACACATAAAGAGAAAAGGAAATCATGTATAATTGACTCACTTTTTACCACAGCCCTGTAACTTATAGAGTAACTTGGGGTCTTTCTGTTTTTTTAAGTGTACCTTTTCATATCTCTTCGATGCTCTTTCATGTTTACCAGCTTTGAACAACGCATTGCCTTCTTCCTTTTTCTTTCCAGCTGCCTCAATCTTCTCTTGAGTATTCATATCCCATGATTCCTTTTCCTGCACACCGCTTTCTAGTAATCTAAGTATATCGCCACCTTTGCCAAAATAAGAAAACCGAAGAAAATTAAGGCATGATTTCTCACCTTTACAAAGGAAACCAGCTCAACTGCATAGTAAACGGTGGAATTAGGAGGAACAGTAGCCAGTTCCTGAGGGGAGGCAGATGAACCAAAAGCATACTCGGGCTGTATGACCACCAATGCAATTTCCCCTTGCTTCATATTCTTCACAGCTCTATCAAGTCCATCAATTACTTGCTCTACACGATACATGGAAGATACCAATTAGTATATTATTGTAGTAGCTTATTTAAAGGGATTTAGCTATTTTAAGAGTCATGAAGTTACACTTAAAACCATTGTTTAAGAGTACCTTCATCAATTTTGAACTCAAATGGCTGATCATCATCATGACCCTTCTTAAGAAAGACAGTTCCATCTTCTAGCTTGCCGATAAGTTTCACTGAATCAATGAAAATAATGCATCTATTCAATACTACAATCCAATATAATTAATATACAAGGAAACAAAGAAAACACAAACTTTGAAAAACTCCTATTAGCAAAACTGTACCTTGAACCACGGCTCCATCATTTGGTCGTTCATATCCCTCTCCTTCCTTCAAGATCTTCTTAAGGACCTTCCCATCCTTAGAAATGTCAGATACAGTCTTCCACGAGACTAACTCTAGATCTATTTGAAGCGAAGCATTTGGAGGTACAGCGCCATCATCTCCTAACGATGGTTTTCCACTCTCACCAAACGCATCTGCAAAATTTATAAAACTCAATAAAAACTTACACAAGCAAGCAAAACATGTATTTACGTAACTCTAATAATAACAAAAGTTTGACTCACATTGTGGCTTAACATTCAAGAGAACTTTCTCTCCCTTCTTCATTGTTTTCACAGCCTTGGCCAAAGCAGGACAGAAATAACCTGTATCAAAGAAATATGCATCCTAGTCAATTACCATCTTTTATACCCAAACAATTTATAGGTTTGAAGTATGAAACTTACCCTCTTGAACCGTGAACTCCACTCCATCCGATTTTGAAATAATTGTCCCATCTTCAAGACGAGCTTCATACTTAACTGCAGAAAGAATAAAAATAAAAGTACAGCAAAATATAAGATAATAATGATCAAATATTCCCTCATCTCAAAGAGGACAATAAAATAAGTTGCTTACCAAATACTTCATCAAGATCCTTAGGATTTTCCCATTTCTCCCCTTCAGTTATTATGTTCTTCAATATTCCTCCATCCTTGGAAATATCCTTAACACTTGTCCAAGACAGTAGCTCCACATCAAACCGAAGAGTCGCATTCGAGGGAATAGTAGGAGGAGATCCAGACTCACCATAAGCCAATTCTGAAGGTATTGTGAATATGGCATTTTCACCCTTCTTCATGGTTTTAATACCTTCATCCCATCCCTTGATCACTTCGCCTGTCCTCGACAAAGAGCAATAACAATCCAGCAATCAACTTCAGCATAACAATGAAACGAAGCAATCTCAATCATTGGATCAGGAAGATAAAACGATAATCATTCATTACCTTGACCAAGCTTAAACTTGAAAGTAGTACCCCTATCACGGCTAGAATCAAATTTGGTTCCATCAAGCAACGTTCCAGTATAATGCACTACAAAAAGAAAAACCAAACGCAATCAAAATCACATTACATTATTACGTATCAATCCAATTCTTTATTAGAAATAGCGTTTGAACTATGAATTACCTTCAACTTGATCTCCATTACCAGGAGTTTCCCATCCTTCACCTTCCTTTACAAGCTTCTTCTTCAGACCATTCTTCCCAATTTCCTTCTCTTCACCGACCTTGTGGATCGGACTCACCATCTCTTCTTCCTCCGGAGTTTCCATGTCGCCTGCAGTTGAAAAATCGAAATCCTCTTCCATCGATGAAAATCAACGAGAAAATGATTTATGAGCTTCGAATTGTGTTTATGAAATTGCTGAATATTGCATTAGCGATCGCGTGTGTGTATTTATATAGGAAAAAAGGAGCGACATGAGTGTGTCTAGAGAGTTCTTTGATTCAAAGCTGTTTCATGATCGTTCCAGAACCATCTAATTTCAGTTGCTTTTTATTGTGATCGTCGTAATAGTATATACAAATATTTATTTAATTTAATTATAAATTAAAATAAATATGCAAAATTGAAAATAGTAATGAGAACTTGTTCAAATATTGAGATCTAACTGTAAAGGGATTGTTCGTTATTTGTCCGCGGGAATGTAACTGAATGTTGAACGTTTCCTTTTTTTAACAGCTTATAATTGAAAATAAAAATATCTATTTTATTCCACCAAAATTTAAAAAATAATGTGAATGCAGTGAAAATGAGAAATTAAGTAAGGCTAAGTTTGGTAAAAATTACATATGGTTGATAAGTTGGTTGAGAACTTATAATTATCTTTAATGACCGATGACTAACTTATAATTTATAGCAGATGATGGACAGTTTGTATCTTATAATTGATAGTCCATGACTTAATTAAATTATTTAATAAAATTAGCGGTTCAATTAATTGATAAATTAAATTGAAATAAAAGATCTTTAATATATAATTGTTTTATTTAAATTAAAATAAATTATAAGAGGTAGGAGTGGATTTTAGTTAAAATAATGACAAAAGTGGAAGAAAAAGACTATAAATTAAAATGCTATTTAAAATAGTTTCTGAAAAATAAACTATAAAATAGTAAAATAAATTATAAGTCTCTGATGAAATAACTATTTCTAAACAAGTCTTTTATTATCATATGTTGCAGGCTTAGTCTTCTTTTTTGACATTAGATTTACAAGCATTTAAGTTGACACCCCTGTTTGAACCTGACACCCCCATTGCATATGAAAAGACAATAATGCTCTTGCAAAATCATTTCACTCATTTTTTAATTTACAGGATCCACATGCGAATCTCAAAAGTCTGAGGCGATATCGGAAATTTGAATAACACTACCAAAAATTTGGAAAACAATACGTTTATTACCGTAAATGTCATAATTTTCGGGATTTTGCCCTAGAAATTTCAAAATTTTCGATATTAATTCTAACATTTTAATTGGAAATTTCAAAATTTCCGATACAAAATCCCATGGAAATTCTCAAAAATTCAAGAATTTCCGAAAGTTATAAAAACATAGTTTATTTTACCAGTAATTCTAAAATCTGAAAGTCATAAAAACTTTGTTTTCTACCTGAAATTTCACAATTTTCGGTAGTTATAAAAATTTGTTTTTTTACCGGAAATTCTGAAATTTCTGATAGTTGCTATTTTTTTCCTTCTTTTGCAGTGAAATATAGAAGCATATCCGACACTATTGCATACAAAGCTACTGATAGAGCGGAAGACCAGGCTAAAGTTGGTGTGGATGAGTCTTCCTAGATACAAACTGAACGAGTAGTTTCAACCAGTTCACACCAGAAACGGTTGACTAAGCAGAGTCAGTTTCACACACCTCGTAGCACTCGACCCCGACAAGTAAGATCAGTCGAGTAGTTCAGAGATAAGGTGGGAGTGTCAGATGCTACTGTTGCAGATGAAGTTGTTACTGAGGAGGTTGTTATTGACGAGGAGGTTATTGATGAAGTGGTTACTGAGGTGGTGTAGCCAGATGTTGGTGTTATTGATCTTGTCCCATATGTTACTGCTGACATAGAGGTTACAGCTCATTCGATCGAGTCCTTTATACGCACTGACAGAGGATTCCCTAGATGACCCATTGATCGGTCGGTACTTATTGAGTATGCTAATCATGTGGCGTTACGACTATGACAGGGAGATGCATATGTATTTTATGTTTAACTTTAATTTGTTTATTATTGTGTCATGAAAGCTAACTGCTATTTTTTTTATATTTGTTTGTCGTAGGACCGTCCCACACTGAAGATGACATTGCACGGGTCGAAGCTGAAAGACTTCCCAAAGATTTCGATGCTAGAGCAGGTCAATCAGTTTGTACAGAAGTTCAAGCTCATTGATTTTTCCCACTACTCTCTCACCATGCTTGACGCTCCACTACTTATTGTGTTTGTTGAGAGATGGCACAATGAGGCATCTTCATTTCATCTTCTGTTTGAGGAGATGACTATCACTTTGGATGATGTCTCCTCATTGTTCCATCTCCCTATCGTCGGCAGATTTTATACGACTCATGTTTTTAGCATGTCGCTTGCATATATGACTGTTGCGCGAGTTTTTAGAGTTTCTGAGGCGGTTGTGCAGAAGAAGTTTGGCATCAACAATGACGTTCACCTTCGTATGTCTTGGCTACGAAAGATGTACAACGAGCTTGTAGCAGTTGGAAGTTATGAGGTTGCCGCTAGTTGTAACACCCCATTTAAAATATTTAGTCACTGCGTGTTGTTTGTGATTTTATTGACTTAATTAAGGATATGTGGTTAAGGGTGAGAGGGAGTAAGTCTTAATTGAGTAATATAAATAAAACTTTAGAATAATATGATAATGATAATTAATTAATAAGGAATGAGATATATTATTATTATTATTATTATTATTATTATGATTGTTATTATTATTATTATTAGTAGTAATATTATTGTTAGGAGTTAATTAAGTGAGATAAAAACAAAATTAGAGAGAGATTAACAGAGTTTTGGGAAATAACTGCTAGAACGTGAAAGAGGAAGAAAATGAGAGTTAGGGAAAAAAGAACTAAGGTTTCACCAATGTTGAAGGAAGAAAGCTCATAATTCAAGTAAGGGGGAAAATGAAATTCATTAATGGTGATAATAACATGAGAGGGTAGTGAGGGTTCCTTTCTCTCTTAGGACTATCTGTACATTCTTCCTTTTCTTTGTCTAATTGCTATGATTGTGTGATGGTTAATGTTAGTTTGTAACTGTGTACTGACCGTGTGTATGAATTTGTGTTGTATGTTGATTTCGAATGGAAAATTTGTGCAGGTACTGTTGTTGCTGGGTTCTAATATAGAACCAAATCTGAAAATTGTGGTTTTTTTGGGGTTAACGAAAATGGACAATAATAATAGAAAACATTGAAAAGAGTGATGAAAGAATGGTGTTGAATAAACCCACTAATGATAGACTAGTGTAGTTGTTGTTTTTGGGTCGAAATCAGGAGCTTGGAAGTGCTCAAATGGGGGAAAATTGCATTGATGTGAAACTAGAGGATTTTTCTATGCAGGCAAGTCAATACGCATAATGCCCAGAGAAATACGTGAATGGGGGACACTCTCAGGGGGTAATACGCGTATGATACACACCTGTCCCCAGAGGCAGCACGACCATCTGCCGGTATGTGTATGATACGCGTAGGGTGGAGTGGCCATACGTGTATGACAAGGTCAGTACGTGTATGGGAAGCTTTTGGAGGGGGCTATATGTGTATGGGATAACCATTACGCGTATGGGGAGTTTTGGAGGAGTTTCAAAAGAGAAACCCTCTCTGGCCATATGCGTAAGGCCCGAGGCAATACGCGTATGGATGGCCCGGGCAGATGAGCCCAACGCGTATGATACGTAGCCTTGGGGCATAGGGAGACAATCATACACGTATGGGGCAGGGTCATACGCGTATGGGCAGAGTTGTTGTGAAAACTTCCCGTTTTCGCGATTTCTGTCCCAATTTCACATGTAATGCAATTTCTCTTGATCCGTAAGACTAAGATGGTATGATTGAACATATGGGGAAACAATAACGACATTAAATGGGATAAAATATGGGATTTTTACGTGATGGTTTGTATGAGACGTGTTTGATGATTGTGTGCCAAGATTTGTATATGTGGATGGTCTTGGACTGTGGTGGTAATTCCAGAGGTAATTACGGTGAGTATGTGGCTCACGTGTGATTATTGAGGATTGTGGCTTATGCATGAGTTATTATTATTATTGTGCATAATTTTGTCATGCATTCATGTCATGTTATGTGGAGATGAGCTATGTGGGAATCCATGGTAGGTGCTTAGTCTCGTCCGGACTCCATGTGGGAGTCGTGTGGAGATAAGTTGTAGTTCAAAGGAACGTATACGACTAATTCAAATTCCGACGGGAAGCGGGTTCTAGGGTGAACCGTATGTGATTGTGATGGTATCGCATGCATTGTGTCATGTCAGTTGAGTCGCGTTGCATATGCATATGATTGAATATGGGCTGAATATGCCAAGTATTGGTGTGACATTTGTATGTGCGTTGTAACTGTATTATTGATGTGATTTGTGTGATAACTACTCCTTAGCATGTGATTTTCGCTGTGTATTATTGAATGTAGTTTGCACCCCTTTTCTGTTTGTTGTGTCTGTGCTCCTTGAGGAGTACAGTTAATCAAGTATTTGAGTAGTGCTTGGAGCATGTGTTGCTATTTGATCGACTCTTAAGAGTCGCTCTGATACGTAACACGAGAAGGATGAGGATTTCATATTTTCTTTATATTATTTGACATTGTATTTGTTACATAAATATTTTTGATTAATGTTGTTGAACCACATACTCTGTGGAGATTTAGTGTAATTGAAGTTTTAATGTTAAACCATTTGAATTAGTTCTGGTGTTTAATCAAATTATTTATTTTTGTTAATGAATAAGATACGAAGTGATTTGATACTTTATGTTGACGTTTGATGATGTGGCATCCTACGTGTGTAACTATGGTTAACTTCTGTATTTATTTTTCGTATTTTTAATTGTCATACGAATGGGTAGAGTAGGGTGTTGCAATTGGTATCAGAGCAAGTCGATCCTTCCAGCCAATATAGTTAGTAGAGTCTGACTATAGAGTGAGTATAGTCATGTGTTTTTCTAAATGGTATTTTCTTTGGAACATGCTGTTCCCTAATATGTGACATGTGTGTAAAAACACGGCCGATGCTTGTTTGTTTTCCATTTGCAGGTTGGAAATGGAACAAGTGG